TATATATATATATATATATATATAAACTATTAATAAATAAAAAAAGGTATGGGACATGAAGAAGGACTCAACAAAAATTCATGTTTAGTATATATATATAAACTATTAATAAAATAAAAAAAGGTATGGGACATGAAGAAGGACTCAACAAAAATTCATGTTTAGTTAATGCCCAGTCGTAAGTCACTTAATAATAGGAGTTTAATTCCAATAATATATTTTTAAAGGAAGAAACAAAGTGTCCCAACTTTTCTTTTAATTTCATCCCATGAAAATTTATTTTTTCAATTTATGCTTTAACTAATTTACAAAATTTGACCTTGAGGAGGTTGTTGCCTACATTCACCCCATGCGTCATCACAATAAAATAATAGGGTGGTATATCACCACAAAGATATTTAGAAATAGGTGTCAATTATGCAAATGGAAGTATAGAAAGCACGTTCACAATTAATTGGCCATGTATTTACACATAACAACCCTCCATGTCATTTATATGAAAATAACTTCATTTTATCGTTACGGCTTACAAGCATTCCTATAGAGACCCAACTTGTTTATGACCGTCTTAACCCCTAGGACACTAAATCCATTGCTTGGGGCTATTTTGGGGGCTCCATATATATAAAAAAAACAATTACTGGGGGTACTAATGTATGTTATCATTTGTGCTAAGGAAATTGCATATGAGATGAAAATAAACCTGAATTTTGTAAGAAATAATTTGATGAAAATATGGATAGTGAAGTCACAAAGTCCCTTGAAGAATCTTTTAGTGTTTATTGCTTTATATATGTAAGGTAGATCAAACTATTTTTTCACTTCAAAATAGATTTGAACAAATTAAAGCATATGAAATTTTTTTTCATTCCTTATTTTGTGGTAAATTATTGAGATCAAGAGATGATGAGAATTTAAATATATTTTCTTAACCTAAAACTTTCTTTAACATGTAATAGTTCTTATGATATGAATGGTTTAGATTTATTTTTTGTATTAAAAGTGTTGAGTGAAACAACATAAGCATAAGATAATGATCTAACGAAAATACTCAATTAAATAAAAAGACTTAACTAGAAAGGTGGTTTTGTAGGCGAATGAAATACGTTTTTGTAGGCGAGCGGAGTGGTTTTTTCCAAATACACATATTGCTTATATAATAATGTTAACTGTTTCTGTAACTGTTACTGTAGCCGAAAGAAGTTTTTCGAAATTTAAATTGTTAAATCTTCTATAAGATCAACAAAGTCTCAAGAGAGGTTGAATGAATTAGCTATATTACCATTCGAAAAAGAATTATTAAAAAAAATTGTTCATAATATGGTATCTAATGACTTGGCATCTAAAATAGGTAGAAAGTAGATTTTAAATAAAAGTATTTAAAAAGTATTAGGGTCCCTCTCTTTAATTTTGCTTTAGGCCCCCA